TCCTCTCATATTTTTCTTCATAATCTTCACCCTCTATATGTAATAGAGGATTTAAAAAGCAGCACTATAGCCGGGCGTGGTAGCGTGTACCTGTAGTTCCAGCTGCTTGGAAGGCTGAGGCGGAAGGATCACTGGAGCCCAGCAGGTAGAGGCTGTGGTGGCCGGGAGTGGCCACTGCACTACAGTCTGGGTGACAGAGTGAGACTCCAACTCAAAAAAAAAAAAAAAGCAGCACTATTCACTAGCAACATGGAACCAACTGTGCTGCCTGTCAAAAGAGGACTAGATGAAAAAAGTGTGGTACATATACACAAATATTACACAGCCATAAAGAAAGATAAACATATGGACTTTGCAGCAACTTGGATGGATTCAGAGTCTGTAACACTCAGTGATCTAGCACAGGATCAAAGAAGTGAGTACCACATGTTCTCATTCATAAGTGGACCCTGAACATGCTACCATAATACTATAAGAAAGGGATTTGCTGGGCGCATTGGCTCACACCTGTAACCCCAGCACTTTGAAAGGCTGAGGTGAGAGAACTGCCTGAGTTCATGGATTTGAACTCAGCCTAGGCAACGTGGTTAAGATCTCGTCTCCACAATAAGTCAAAATTATCTAGGGCATAGTGGCATACACCTGGGCAACATGGTGAGACCTCGTCTGCACAATAAATCAAAATTATTTTGGGCAGGGTGGTACATGCCTGTAGTTCCAGCAACTTTGAAGGCTGAGGCAGAAGGATCGCCCAAGCCCAGCAGGTTGAGGCTGCAGTGGCCATGAGCATGCCTGGGTGACAAGAGTGAGACTCCAACTCAAAAAATACAATACAAAAGAGAGTTAAAAGAGTTCATCTTCAGGGAGAAAACAGAGAGAGAGAGAAAAACAAGAACTGGAATGAATAATACTACAGGAAAGATTGGCAGTTGCAGATCACTGCCAGGGAAGGCAGGGCCCCATAACATTAAGAAGAGTATCTTATCCTAAACCAGGCGAAGTGAGGACCAACGAGAGGCCCAAACTTCACCTGCACGGTGACCATTTATGTATCTAACCCTGAATTGTACCCCACATCTCTGAAATCTTAAAAAAATTTTTAATTAAAAAAAAGAACTGGAATGAATTATAATCAACTCCCCTACCATATCACCCTTATAAAACCAAAGAATACTTTCCAAAGACGATCCTTACCAACATTACAAAAAATGTAGAAAGAAACTACAAGTGATCTGTTCTTTTAGGAAGGAAATAATGAAGCACAGGCAAAGCATTGCAGTTTTTTGTTTTTTTGTTTTGTTTTGTTTTTGAGTCCGAGTCTCACTCTGTCATCCAGGCTGAAGTGCAGTGGCACACTCATGGACACAGCAGTCTCAACCTGCTGGGCTCAGGTGACCCTTCCGCCTGTCTTCCAAGTAGCTAGAACTACACACACACGCCACCATGCCTGGCTAATTTTTGATTCACTGTAGAGATGAGGTCTCGCCAAGTTGCCCAGGCTGGTCTTGAACCCTTGGGCTCAGGCAATCCTCTCACCTCGGCCTCCCAAAGTGCTGGGATTATAGATGTGAGCCACTGCGCCCAGCAAACTGAGCCACCGCACATGGCCTAGCTTTGCATTGTTTACTTGCCATCACAAAAGGCATTAGTAGTGAGCTCAGGATATCTGAAGGGATCAAAATTCACATGTTAACAGTGAAAACATTTTGCCAATGTCACTAAGATAGCTAGAGGTTACAGTTCAAGTCACACATGACTATTCATCTGTAAAGATTTTCCGAGGGTTATTCAACATAAGCTAATGTACTCTCTGTATGCTAAAGAACTAATCTGTTCACAACTATTCTAAAAGAATAACTGCAGGCCAGGCATGGTGGCTCAAGCCTGTAATCCCAGCACTTTGGGAGGCTGAGGTGAGAGGATTGCCTGAGCTCAGGGATTCGAGACCAGCCTGGGCAACTTGGTGAAACCTCACCTCTACAATAAATAAAAATAATAATAATAATAAACCGGGTGTGGTAGAACGCTCCTGTAGTTCCAGCTACTCGGAAGGCTGAGGCAGAAGGATCACCTGAGCCCAGCATGTTGAGGCTGTGGTGGCCGTGAGCATGCCATTGCACCCCAACCTAGGCAATAGAGTGAGACTTCGACTCAAAAAAAAAAAAAAGAATAAATGCAAACAAACCTTAAACAATTATAATAAAAATAGAAGTTTCTAAATAAAAAACTACAGGTGTAACTAAATAGATATATAACCCACTAAAATTCAACGAATACAGCAGTGGTTCCCAAATACTAATCCCATGATGAAATTTTCAGCAGTTGACAGTGAAATGAAAATAGTAAGGACAAGGTTACAACTTTTTCATAAACCTAAGTTTACATAATCTATAGAACTGTCCTTAGCTTTAAAAGTATGTACTTCTCAATGTTTTGGTGCTTTCGTGAAATGACCATGACAACAAGTGACAGGGAAAGTGGTTCTAACACACTTACGTGGCAAAACAAAAAGTTGCATGATAGACCTGATCTTCCAACGCTGTGTATGTGTGTGATACAGAGCTCAGCACCCATAGAAAATGCAGTCAAGTTCTGAATAACCAAATAATAGTGTTTCTCATATAGAGAAATATAAAGACAATATCTGAATAAGTTTCCAAAAGCCAGGATTAATGAATTTTGTCCACAATCATGTTGATGATGGCCAGAAGTTTGAGCTTTTGAGTTTGAATCACTAATATACTTAAAGCACTGCATGTGTTTTAAACATTAAAAATTATATAAAGATGCCCTTGCCATGGTTAGAGCTTTAAAAAAAAATTACAGAAAGAAACCCAAGTATGCTTGATGGTTTTACCATTAAAGGCAACTGCTGAAGAATGTTTCATTTCTCAAGTTAAAATAGTGTAATCTTATCTTTTAATATTCTGAGTTCTTCTACTAATGTAAGACTTCATCCAATTACGTTTCTGTAACAGAATTGCTCTCTAAGGCATTTCACTTCAACTGAAAACATCAATTTCATTACAGAACATTTAAACTTTCTGAATGTCACTTGGCTTTAAGCAATTTATCTTGATTAAACAAACTCAGATCCAAACACAAAATAAATATATTTTACATAAAATGATTTCTAATTAATGCTTACGTACAAATGAAAGATCTTAAAAAGTAGGCCACATTTACTTCAATTACAGCTAAATAAAGTTGTTTTGTTTTTAAACCTGTGACAGATTTATTCTATCATAATCAGGTAGCTGTTCCAAAAATTTCTTAGAAAAAGGCATTTATGGCCAGGTGCAGTGGCTCATGCTTGTAATCCTGGCACACTGGAACACAAAGGTGGGAGGATCGCTTGAGGCCATGAGTTTGAGACCAGTCTGGGTAACATAGCAAGGCCCTATGTCTCTAAAAAAAAAAAAGGCCAGGCACATTAGTTCAGCCTGTAATCCCAGCACTGTGGGAGGCCAAGGCCAGAGGATTGTCTGAGCCCAGGGATTCGAGACCAGCCTGGGCAACTTGGCGAGACCTCATCTCTACAATAAATCAAAATATTAGCCAGGCGTGGTGGCACGTGCCTGTAGTTCCAGCTGCTTGGAAGGCTGAGGCACAAGGATCACCTGAGCCCAGCAGGTTGAGGTTGCGGTGGCCACGAGTGTGCAGCTGCACTCCAGCCTGGGCAACACGAGTGAGACTCCAACTCAAAAAAAAAAAAAGGCACTTGCTGCGTAACAAAGATACTGCGCTTGGTTTAATTCAGACTATTGCAAACTAATACAGATTTATAAATCTGAGTCAATTCAATTAGAATTAGCTACAGGTGGCGCTACCATAAAACAACAGAGAGTATCTTATCAAGTTGAAGCTCTATGCCTAGTCAACATTTGGTTATTTGTGTTAAGTTTCTCAATAAATATATAAGGTGGCTTTCTTTCCTATCTATGCTAATCTGTTTGCAAATACATAAATACTTCTTGGCCTCTGTAAAGGAGACCTATTTGTGCTCTATTTCCAATGAAAATCCAAACAGTCCCTCATATTTTATTTGCACCACAAGCTATTCTTTTTCGAGAAGACTTTCTTAGTAACAACTCTATTAGAAGTCTGTCAATTAATAAACAGGTTGCTCGGTTAGTGGAAGAGAAATTAACTGTATGTTAGTGGTTAAGAAGCCCTATAATTGCAGCATTTAATTTAACTGTTGTTCCTAATGCCACCAGGCTGACTCAGACTAATAAGTTCTCCAGGTGCCATTGTCTAATAAAGGCCTGTCAAGGTGAAAATTCACCAGTGGAGACTCCAGAAGGATTCACTTAAACACTGAACTTGCTTCTCATGCACAAAAAGAACGGAATCTGGGGCTCTCTGCCACAAGAAAATGCACCGAAAATAAGGTATCACGTGATTTTAGAAAAAATACTCCTTCCCTTAACAGGTCATCCTAAAGTAGACCAAGAATGCTACTTACAAAGATACTCTGAGCGCGCACAGGATCTCCAGCTACACAATGAAGTTTCCAACCCTGTTACATACCAAAACCGCGGCACAAAATGAGCCAATTCGCAACCCTGGACAAAAGACAAGTTGGCGTGTCTTGGGCGATCGTGGGGATAAGATCCCGGGCCCCAGGACCACACACGCGTTTACGCACACCCCAAAGGATGCAGCTCAGCGTAGGCCAGGAGAAGCGCTCCCGCGCGCCACCCGCCCCGCAACCATCCAGAGTCGGTGCCGAGGCCCAGGGCCCGGGAGCCTCTAACATTCAACATCCCCGCCCCATCTCCTCCCCCGGCCCCAAGAACCGTCGGACCCTGGCCTCCACGCGAGTCCCCAGAAAGCTCCGCACGTGCGTTTTCGGGCGCCCCTCGCCCACAGCCAAGTTCACCGCGGCGCGAGGGCAGTTTCCTTCGGAACTCAGGCTCCCGACCACGCCCTCCAGCCAGACGGCCCCCCGCCCGTCCCCGGGGCAGGGGGTCACCCCGCCTCGCCATCGAGCTCACAGGCTAGCGGCGTCCGGGGGCAGCGAGCCCGGCAGCGCCCTCCAGCTCGGCGCGGGCGGCTTCCTGCGGCTGCAGTCCAGCAGCGGGATGCGGCAGGTGCAGGGCGCGGGGCAGAGACCGGCTCGCGCGGCGGGCAGCAGGAGGAGGGCAGCCTGCGCGAGGAAAAGCAGCCGGGAACACGGTCCGGACCGACACCCCAGCCACTGCTCCTCCTGGACGCCTAGGGGCTCCGGCGCCATCTTCCCCGCGACCTGGACCCGGCCGAGAAGAGCCGCCTGCTCGAACAGGCGGCTCGGTGGAGATGCCTGGCGGCTGCGCGACCACCCGGAGCCGCAGCTGTCGCCCGTACCCTCTCCAGGCAGGCGAGGGACGGACGCGGCGCCACAGCGGGGGCGGTGGCCGGGGACACACCGCCGAGGCCCTCCGGACGCGGCTCCTCCGCCCCGCCCCGCGACGCGACGTCCGCACGCACAGCAGCCAGCCAATCGGGGCCACAGGACGGGGGTGCGTCGGGGGCGGGACTCCGCGAGGGGGCGGGGCCGAGGACAGCCGAGCCCCTTTACGCGGAGGACGTTAAGGTGTCCCCGGACTTTGGGTGCCCCTCCCGAGTTCCGCCGCAGTTCCTCCGCGGGAAGGCGCGGTGGTTCCTTAAGAGGGAATGGTGGGCCGCCGCGCTGCAGGTTCAGTCCCGACGCTGGGCTTATCTACTGCAGTCGTACTAAAGCATCCTTTAGCTCCTCTGGGCTTCAAGAAAGAGGAGCGGCGGGAGGGCCGCTTTCCAAGTCGCAGGCACGAATGGGGCGCGGGAGCTTGTGCCCTCGCTCCGGCCTGGTCGGCCTCCAAAGCCGAGCTGGGGCCTCCTCTGCCCCCTGCTGCTTGTCTGCAGTTCCTGCTGTTCTGCGAGCGGCCGGCGGCTCCCGCTTTCCTAACACAAAGCTTGTTCTCGCGATTATCTGTGAACGGCCTTGGGAGCTCCCGAAGGCCGAGGCCCCGTTTATTCACGTGTGCACCTTCCAGCTTCTGATCTGGCTTGAAGTTCAGGTCAAGTTCATCAAGTTCATATGTTGGTGGGGCCGCACCTGCATGTGCCTAAGGAAGACACCCTTCTTTCCTCGGTTTTGGGGGATGCTGTCCTAGGTCAGCACTCTCAGAAAAGCTAACGAGACGATAAAGAGCGTTCTGCGCAGTCAACGAAGCAAAGACTGGGTGTGAGGACGTTTTTTTGGTTTGTTTTTCCCGATGCAGGGACTATGGGAAACTTCCTGGGAACAGTAAACCCTGGCCACCCTGTGCTCACTCAGCCATGAATTATATCCAAGGTTATGAATAAGACTTTGAGAATAATAGTGATCGTTCACTTACACGTATTGCTTTTTATGTTACTTTTCAAAGAGCACTTGGATCTGTTACTTTGTTTGGTCCCTCAGTGACTGTGAACTTGGCAAGACCGTTAATTGCTGATGAAGAAACAAGCCCAGAGTTTAAACCAAGTTACCCCGAGGCAGAGGCAGGGCTGGCATTAGTATGGGTTTTCTGATTTGTAAATTAAAAACCTGAGCAGGTTAAAAAGAATGATAATGTCTACCTAGGCCATAATGTTGTCCTAGAAGGTAACTGAAATCAATATTTCCCATGGCAAATTTGGAGTCATAATTATGTGCTGTAAAAAATCGTTTTCTGATTTCTTTCCGTGCCCAGAACAGCCATGGGTCGTGGTCCAAAGGAGCATCTGAAGCAGGCAGCAGCTCCAAAGCATTGGATGCTGGATAAATTGACTGGTGTGTGGCTCCTTGTCCATCCACTGTTCCCCACAAGCTGAGAGAGTGTCTTCCTCTCATCATTTTCCTAAGAAACACACTTAAGTATCTTCTGGAGGGAGATGAAAAAGACATCTGCATGCAGTGGTTCACTAAGATCGACAGCAAGGTCCAGACTGAATAACCTACCCTACTGGGTTTATGGATGTCATCAGCACTGACAAGACTGGAGAAAATTTCTGCCTGATCTATGACACCAAGAGTCACTTTGCTGTTCATCGTATAACACCTGAGGAGGCTAAGTACAAGTTGTGCAAAGTAAGTAAGATCTTTGTGGGCACAAAAAGAATTCTTCATCTGGTCACTTACGATGCTCCCACCACCTGCTACCCTGATCCCCTCATCGAGGTGAATGGCACCGTTCAGATTCATCTGGAGACTGGCAAGATTATTGATTTCATCAAGTGTGACCCTGGTAACCTGTGTATGGTGACTGGAGTTGCCACCTAGGAATAATCAAGGTGATCACCAACAGAAAGACATCCTGGGTCTATTGATGTGGTTCATGTGAAAGATACCAACGGCAACCGCCTTGCTAACCGACTCTCCAACGTTTTTGTTATTGGCAAAGGCAACTATTCCTGAAGAGAGAGAGACAAAGGCTGGGCGCTATGGCTCATGCCTGTAATCCCAGCACTTTGGGAGGCAGATTGAGAGGATTGCCTGAGCCCAGGGGTTCAAGACCTGCCTGGGCAACATGGCGAGACCTCGTCTCTACAATCAATCAAAAAATTACTAACACCTGTAATCCTGGCACTTTGGGAGATGGAGGTGAGAGGATTGCCTGAGCCCAGGGATTTAGGCAGTCTGGGCGACTTGGTGAGACCTCGTCTCTACAATAATTTTTAAAATGTAGCCAGTGTGGTGGCATGCACCTGTGATTCTAGCTACTTGGAAGGCTGAGGTGGAAGGATTGCCTGAGTCCAGCAGGTCGAGGCTGTGGTGGCTGTGAAAGTGCCACTGCACTCCAGCCTGGGTGACAGAGTGCGACTCCAACTCAAATTAAAAAAAAAAAAAAGAGAGAGAGAGAGAGACAAGAGACTGGCAACCAAACAGAGAAGGGGGTGAAATGGTCTCTATGTGACATGTAAGAAAGATCTGTACCTAATTAAAGATAATGCAGAATGGTTCGAATAATTAAAATCCTTTTCTCAGTGTGTGTTTTTAATTTATTTTGAGTCAAAGTCTCATTCTGTCACTCAGGCTGGAGTGCAGTTGCATGGTTACAGCTAAAGCAGCCTCAATCCTTCCATCTCAGCCTTCCAAGTAGCTGGAACTACAGGTGCTGTGTTTTGGTTTACTGTAGAGATGAGGTCTTGCTAAGTTGCCCAGGCTGGTCTCGTACCCCTGAGCTCAAGGAATCCTCTCCCTTCAGCCCCCCAAAGTGCTGGGATTACAGATATGAGCCACCATGCCTGACCATCCTTTTCTGTGTTTTAATACTGAAATAATTGTTGGAATAAATGCCATATTCGGTACTCTAGTCCAAATCAAACTTGTAAAACCAAGATAGCAGAGTAAAACACTCCTAGTCTCCTTCCCCTAGCTGTTAAACAGGCTTCACAACCTCCAGTAAGATACTGGGCATAGACAGGAGGCCCACAAAAATAGAAGGCAGTTTAGTTCCTTTCTACATCATAGTTTCAGAGCTTCGCTATGAAACTGTGCCAAATGGGCCCATTAGAAATTCATGCTTTCAGCGAGGCTCAGTGGCTCACGCTTGTAATCTCAGCACTTTGAGAGGCCGAGGCAGGAGGATTGCCTGACCCCAGCACCAAGATCAGCCTGGGAACTTGGCAAGACCTCTCAAACAATTAAAAAATTAGCTGGGTGTGGTGGTGGGCACCCATAGTTCCAGCTACTTGGAAGGCTGAGGCAGAAGGATTGCCTGAGCTCCGCAGGTCGAGGCTTTGGTGGCCGCTCATGAGCACGCCACTGCACTCCAGCCTGGGTGACAGAGTGAGACTCCAACACACACACACACACACTCTCTCTCTCTCTCTCTCTCTCTCTCTGTTCATCCTCTCAGCCAGGCGTGGTGGTTCATGCCTTTAATCCTGCACTTTGGGACACCAAAGTAGAAAGATCACTTGAAGCCAGGATTGTGAGCCCAGCCTGGGCAACATAGAGAGAACCCCATCTCTCAAAAAAAAAGAAAGGAGGAAAGATAAAAGAAATTCATGCTCCCTGACTTGTGTCTTCTCCAATAATTGGTGTAGTTAAAAAGATTCCCTTCAGCTCTTAATTCCTTCTGCACATTATTTTTCCCACAACGATGGCATTCATCTGTACCTTATATATTTTTGTGTTCCCCATATTGGCTAGTACAGGGCCTAGTGCATAATAGACACAATAAATGTTTGAAAAATGAATGGCCAGGAGTGGTGGCTCATGCCTATAATCCTAGCACTTTGGGAGGCCAAGGTGAGAGGACTGCCTGAGCCCATGGGTTCAAGACCAGCCTGGGCAATTTGGCGAGACCTCATCTCTACAATAAATCAAAAAATTAGCCGGACGTGGTGGCGCGTGCCTGTAGTTCCAGCTACTTGGAAGGCTGAGGTGAAAGGATCACCTGAACCCAGTAGGGAGACAGATTGAGACTCTTACTGAAAAAAAAAAAGAAAAGAAAAGAAAAATGAATGGCTAATGAGATTATCTTACATCCTGCAATACCTAAGTATTTTATCATGAAAAATGTCCATATACATAGCATTAAGGAGAATCATAGAATAAGCCCCCCATAGAGCTAATAAGATTTAGCAAATGCATGTATTCAACAGTGATTAGTGAATCATTTCTGATTAACAATGGAATATAGAATTTTTTACATTCATTGCCCTAGAATTATCCAATCAATCCTTGAGTACTAAAGTGCCTGGACAGACTGTTTAGAGTTCAGTGGAATCCATAAGCAGAGAATACCCCAGCTCTAGACTCCTAAAAAAGTATTCAATCCAGCCAGAGGCGGTGGCTCACATCTATAATCCCAGCACTTTGGAGGTGGAGGGAAGAGGATTGCCTGAGCCCAGGGGTTGTAGACCAACCTGGGCAACTTGGCAAGACCGCATCTCTTCAATAAACTAAAAAAAAAAAATTAGCTGGGCATGGTGGCGTGAGCCTGTGATTCTAGCTACTTAGACGGCTGAGGTGGAATGATCACCTGAGTCCAGCAGGTCGAGGCTGCAGTGCCCATGAGCATGCCACTGCACTCCAGCCTGGGTGACAGTGAGATTCTGACTCAAAAAAAAAAAAAAGTACTCACTCTGGGCTCCTTGTTCCGGACCTTAGTATACACCCCAACCCCTTATGATTTAGCTGCTATATATCCCATTATCTCAGGACTTGACCCTCTGCAGAGTCACAGCTAACTATCCTGTCCCGTTCCATTCTCGCAAGCTAGAAATCTCTGGATCGCACATGCCTTCCCTCTCTTTCCTGCCTCATCCAACCAGTCACTAGACTCGGCTTAGTCTCCCAGAGGAATGTCTGTGATCTCCCCCCACCTCTCTGCCCCAACTGCTCCTCTGTTCAAACCTTCATCTCTCAAGAGTACTATTGCAATGACCTCTGAACCTATCTCCTGTCTTCCAATCTCTCCTCTCTCCCAGCCTCTACACTGCCACAAGAATTATCTTTC